GTATTGGGGAACAGCTACCAGTGTAATTAAGATATCAACATGAATATCTGCAAGGTCTGGTGCCGTTCTGTAGCCTCCTGAAATCTCCTTACTGGATATTGCCTCATTCTCAAAAGTCCTTTTTTAAAGTACAAAATCATTCCATAAATAGAGAAAAAAGGACATTTATCTGGTAGCTGTATATATTATAATGCTTTTGGTACAATGCATATTATACTGTATATCAGATTATTTTCCCATACGGCAAATTTTGGAAGCAATCTAATTTTAGCGATCTATTGTACATGTTTCTTTCTTTCCTTTTATTCGTGTTTTCTGCTGACAAAGAGTGGCCACTGTTTTTGTCACAGATTTTTTTGTTTTCACATGTAAAGCTTTGTTTTCAATTTTCCTATTGGTGCATTGCTTTCAAGTATGTATTTTGTATTCCACACACATTGTCTCGTCTCACCATGTTATTAAAATGCTATTGTAAAGCTGCCTATGTTTGTATGCCTAATTGCAAGGTGTGAATTATATTATTATATTGGACAATCGGTTAAATAAGCATAAACTATAATACCCTTTTTGCTTACAGTGTCACTTAAAATTTTATGTACTGTAAATAAGAGGGTCATGATAGCAATAATATCGCTCACCTGATTATGAATGCTCATTCCCATTTTATTTTGGCTGTGTGACCTAGTTTTCAGCCAAAGATAACCCATATTCAAAAATGACATAGAAATCGCCAAATCAATCTTTGTCACTATTTCCAGAATATTTGGATCAAAACAGTAGGCTCTAGAGTGTTAACAAGATTTTTCCATATTTGGGCTGTGTGATCTAGATTTTAAACCCAAGTGACCCATATTCGAAATCATCATAACATTTTTTAACAAATTTCCAGGATACTTGAACTGGTACAGTATCACCTTGGGTGTTAACAAGGCGTTTCTATATTTGGGCTGTGTGACCTAGTTCAAAACCTTAGGTGACGCATATTCAAACTTGACCTAAAAACACCTAGTGTGTTAACGAGCAAATGTGGACGGCGACGGACATTCAATGATCATAAATTGTCACCCTGAGCTATCTCACCCTGAGCTATCTCACCCTGAGCTGACATGTGAAATTTGTTGTGTTTTTTTATTCCAACTCATAAAAGACCGTTAACAAACCTTATAAATTTGTATATGAATTCCTTAAACATTGCAATGTTCCGTGCAAGTAGAATATTCAAAGACTAAAAGATGTAAATGTGTTTATTTTATATATTTTCTTATCTTGTCAAGCTAAAAATCCATTTTATCTGAATCAACTGGTGCCAATAAATCCAAATCTGTTCAGGAACGGGAAAATATTCCAAATCAGCCCGGAACGATTACGCACCTTGGAACTGTACAACTGTCTGTAGTTTACCGAGATTTAATATCGTCGAACCATGCTAAAATTAAATTACGCCTGAACACTTTTTATCTATAAATAGCAAAAGTAAGTCTGACTAGGGGAACTGTTTAACATGGAACAATTTAAACGCGTTGGTGTTGTATTGGATTGTAATAAAACATCTGAATTTTTCAATCTATCCGTTAGTTACTTTTAGAAACAAATAAACAAGTTTGTTTTAAAGAAAATTAAATTTATACATTTTAAAGTTTCGTAAGTTTTCTTTCTTTTTGGAAGTCTCTGTTTGCTATTGATAGTAACTGGATGCTGTGAAAGTGAATGGTTGCTATGAAAAGTCACTGGCTCCTATGGAAATCTATGGTTATAATGGAAAGTCTATGGATGTCGATGGCTGCTTTAAAAAAGTCAATGACTCCTATTAAAGTCATTTGTTGCAATGGAAAGTAAATGGTGGTTATAGTAGCCAATAACAGCTAAGGGAAGTCACTGGTAGTCATGGAAGTCTATGGTCGCAATGGAAAGTCACTGTTTGCTACTGAAATGTATGGTTGAAAGAAAGTCAATGGCTGCTACAGGAGTCACTGGTTGCCATGGAGGTCTATGGTTGCTATGGAAAGTTTTTATTTGCTAGTGAAGTGTATGGTTACCATGGGAAGTCAATGGGCGCTTTGGGAGTCAGTGGTAAATAAGGAAAGTCACTGGCTCCTATGGAAGTCACTGGTTGCTATGGAAAGTCCATGGTTGTTACGGACGTCAATGGCTTCTAAGAACGTCAATGACTCCTATGGAAGCCAATGGCTGCTATGGGAAGTCAATGGTGATTATAGTAGTCAATGATACCTTTGGGAAGTCACTGGTTGTCATGGAAGTCTATGATTGCTATGGAAAATGAAAATTTGCTACTGAAATAAATGGTTGCTATGGAAAGTCAATAGTTGTTACTGAAATCAATGGCTGCTATAGGAAGTCACTAGATGCCATCGAAGTCTATGGTTGCTATGAAAAGTCAATGACTCCTATGGAAGTCAATGGCTCCTATGGAAAGTCAATGGTGGTTATAGTAGTCAATGACACCTATGGGAAGCCACTGGTTGTCATGCAAGTCTATGATTGCTATGGAAAATCAAAATTTGCTACTGAAATAAATGGTTGATTTGGAAAGTCAATAGTTGTTACTGAAATCAATGGCTGCTATGGGAAGTCACTAGATGCCATCGAAGTCTATAGTTGCTATGAACAGTCAATGACACCTATGGAAGTCAATGACTCCTATGGAAAGTAAATGGTGGTTATAGTAGTCAATGACACCTATGGGAAGCCACTGGTTGTCATGCAAGTCTATTAATGCTATGGAAAATCAATCAAAATTTGCTACTGAAATAAATGGTTGCTATGGAAAGTCAAAAGTTGTTATCAATGGCTGCTATGAAAAGTCACTTGCTACATGTACACATTCAGCGCTACTTTCTTCTGTTGTTGAACATCTAACATGCTCTAAATCCTTTAATAAAACATTATTAAACACGTGTTTGACATTTCTAAAGAATATAATAAATATGGATTTCTGAGGTATAATGTGGGTTTAAAAAAGAACATTCACCTGGACGAAAGAAATCATTGCTAAAATAGCATTTATCACTAACTTTTGATTGTTGGTGTTTTAAACCTTTCAGTTAGAACTGCAATTAACACTTGTCTTGGAACATGAATAATGATAAACATACCACCAAACAAAAAGTAATTTTCCACGTACGTGAATTTTTTCTTTAATTTATTAGATGCCGCGTGCACGCGGCGGCTAGTAGATATGCACAATGGGTAAATTTAAGTGTTGCTTTTCTTCTGTTTTAACAAAATCACACTATTTCAAATTTTCAAATAAAAATAGCTTTTCTGATGTACAATATGTCACCGAGCTTTAAGGAATTAAAACAAAGGTATAACTGAAATGATACTGCCATGTTTGAATATCATTTTCTTTTTATTATTATCTTATTTCATTAACCTAATGAATAACATGTCAATGAGACCGTGTGTATTCTAATGACGGGAACCAAATTGAAACGAGGGGTATGACTTAAATACGCAACGGAGATTATTTTGAGGCTACAAGCGGAACGGAAATATTTTTGCAAAACGGGCAAAACGTATGCTTGTGCATGAAAATAATTAATATTTAAGTTATTAAACAGATCAACTGAGTGAAGAAAGTAACTTTGTTTTAAAATGTATCACAAATATCTGCAATAGGTTATTTTGAAGGATTCTGTGACGATTGTTCTCAACACGCTACTTAGAATTTATTATTATTTATCAATTTATTCATAACTATTGATTGATATTAGAGACATATCCTTAAACTTGTGAAAAAATGATAAATATTTCAGAAAATAATGTTTTAAAGCCATGGTCTGTTAAAAAAACATAGATTGCTTATTCAGAATATTTGCTGAAAAACAGCGCCATTTCGAAAATGCACTAAATTAAACATCAAATATTTGAAAATAACATCTTGAAAAATTGAAAACTCTTTCCAAATATGAGCAATAGATTTTTACCTCTATTTGAAAGACCCTGGTGCGGACAACATGATTTATTACACACAAACAAACAAACATTTAGCTTTTATAGAAAATATTTGAAATTAAATGCAAAGAATTTGCTTTTTAAAAAAAATGATGTGCAATATGTGTGTGTTTAACTTGTTTTGCTTAATTGTATTGCAATAATTACTTTTGTCTGAATTGTATATTATAATGATGTTAAATGTATATGACATACATTTATAATAAAGAAATATAAATACAAAAAAGAATTTGTTATTTTGCATGGCAAATTTAACAGAAAGAACAATTCAATGTTTTAAGGAATAATTTTCCATTTTCTATACAAATATTTAGTTAACTTCCATTTTACCGGCCTTTTCCTTCATTTCATGAATGTAACATTTACACAAATCCGCTTTTATTGATAAATGGTGAATTTATGATCATGTTCGTCCTTGTTCAAAATGCGGTAACTGCAGAGTATATTTAGAGTATTTTTGAAAAACATCAACCAAATAGTTTGTATCTAATACATCCAGAAATAATAATAAAAAAATATATAGAGATTTCTATATCTATTAGTGAAATTTTCAGTGTCATATCTTGTAGGGCGCCGCCGTTTTCAATGAAATAAATGATAATAGGCGGGGTTTTCCGATAACGGAAAAATCGCAACTTTTCGGCTCAATAATAATCGTCGAGGTGTTTCGAGTAAATATGGAAGATTTGCATAAAATACCGAATAACACCTTTAAAACGTAAAATGTAAAATATGAACGATTATTTTAACCGACTTCCAGTTCATAGGCTTTGCCACATTTCATATTAGTATTGCATTAAAGGAAAACTTTACAAATTTGCTTGAGTTACGGGAAAAAACTTCAACTTGAAATATTTATCCTAAAAAGAAACTGTAACGGTCGAGCACGTGAACAATAATATCATCATACAACTTTGCGCTCCGCTTGTCTTGTAATTGATGATCCGTCTGTAACAAGTGTCTTCGTTAATTTGCAACACGTCATTTTCATTGGTTATTACGTTGTACGTCACAACAAAGATGTATTAAAACAAAAGAACACACATCTCACAAATATGGCCGCCTAATTTGTAGTACAATAACCACATAATAACTACACACCATATTGAGCGAAAACAAACAGAAATATTTATTCGGTTACATAATTTGAAATAAATGAAATGTTATAAAAGTGAATTCGTGAGATCGGAATTATGATTAATGGTGAACATTCTATAGTCAAATATATTGTATAAAAAAGAAGAAAAGTAAGAAAATTACAAAAATGGTAATTAGTAAGAAATATGTGTGATAGTGTGAAACAAGTTGATTCAAAATTTTATTTTAATTAGTGAATTTATACAATTGCATAAATAATGTGGATTAAATATTTGTTAAAAGTATATATTTTATACGTATGTACTAAAAGGATCGATTCTGTTGAACCCAACGCCATTGTTACTGTAATTGAGCAGCCGACACCAGTGCAGCAGACGAAAAGTCAAGGCTGCAGACGAAATGAGAAACACCCGGATGACAAAGAATTCCGTATAGCTTGGCTCGCACCGGAACAAGAATTCCACAATTTGAGTGCTGCAACAAGTGCCGGGGCCGTAAAACTCGCCCTTGTATATATTAGACAAAACGAATTATTGAAAGGATATAGACTAAAGTATGTACTTTTAATACTTGTTATACTCTTCTTATTTTATTGGGGGAAAAAGAAACTTAGAGATTTCGTAAAAGACCACCGCCCCAAACGACCTAGCCTTGTCCTTTTACAATGCAACTCCTTTCTCCATTTGCTATAATACCAAGCTTAAATCGACGTGCAATTTCATTGAATGCAGTAAACTTTTAAAGAATTATGTTAAAAGTATTAGTAAAAAAATGAGTTTTAAATTTATTTAGGTAATGCATATTCAAAATATGTCTTCCGTTTGTAAAAATGTAGTTCATTCAAACGCTGGTAAAATGCGTTATTTTAAAATAACAAGTTGTCCAGAAATTATTTAAATTGGTGCATTTTTCTTGATTTACTTATTTCAAAATACTCTGTTTATATTCAAATGAATCGGAATGTATTAAATGTACACCGATACGTTGCGTTCTTTTGACATACACTTCTAGAAGAGTAACACATAGACACGTTATTTGCTTTATGTTCTTTGCACGTGCGTAGGTAATACACTTCTTGTCAGACATTTTCTATTCAATGCACCTTAAAATATCATGATCACATACACGGAAATAAAATAAAAAAGAAAGAAGAACGTATCATGATCAATCAACATACATGTACAAAAATATCTAAAACATTGTAAAGATATTAAGTATTTAAAACGTTCTGTAAATACCAAATGCTTTAAACGCATTTTCCGCCATTTTACTGAAAATAAAATTAATATGATTTATTGCTATATCACCATAGAACGATAACACTCAACTCATGTCAAGTTTACCCATAAACAATGTTTAGTCATACATTTGTTTATACATGTAGCTAAACATATATGTACATGAAAGTAAAACCATAAATAGGCATTGTTAATCATTTCTAGACGTAAACTTAACTTTCACCCTGCAAAATGTAAGAAATAAAATAAGATCTATGCAATGAATTTCAATGTTTAAATTGCTCAAATTGGTAACCTGTAGTCAATCGTTTTTCATGTTTGGGAGTGGCTTTGTACAACACTCATGTCATGCATTAGACTTCAATGTGTTGTTAAGACAACAAATGTTCCTTCAACCATTTTTATTTGTTTACCAAGTCTTAAATAGAGATCGCCATGAATAAAGATTTAAGCAGAAATAAACACATGTAACTTCACAATACTGAAACTTTGGTTGAAATGTAAGATGTAGAAAGGTGTAAAAAGTCCTAAAGGTTTTGCTTATTAATAATAAAGTTTCTGGGAAAAATCAATGTCTATACAGTAATTATGGTGTGAATTAAAATATATCTTTTCTGTGACGTGTGTAAACTGCTCGAATATAATGTTATTTAAACAATAGGTAGAATAAAATAGTCAACACGCCTTGGCTGTCAAATTATTCACGTTAGGACATAACGTGGGTTGTAAATCAATGAAAATCATGCTGTCCTCAATTTTTGACATGCTTTTGTTCATTCGTGACCTTTTAATTGCCCGAGGATCTTTAGTTAGGATACATAAACCGAGAAATGTGTATAACAGAAGCGAATCGATTTTGGAAACATTAATAACTATTTTTCTAATTATAAACAATTATATACGGGAATTGGGTATCAATGACGTTGAATTGGAAATACATGAAGAAATGCCCAAATGAATCATAGGAAACCAGATTAATATAAAATTAAATTATAAACACGGCAAAATACATGTATTCTTAAATGTAGTTTACATGACATAGCGTGATGATATAGCAAATAATACCTTTATTGTAATGATATGCAAATTAAAATCAAGAATAACGCACTCTAATGATCATTATGCAAGCCGCCATATTGATATTTTCTAAAATAATAACGTCGCAGCGCCCTCTCACGGTACTAACATAAGTTTATTTTGATATTATCCGACAGAAGTCGATGTAGGATTCGTCATGGTCCGCTATGTCAAAAAGGGAAAAAACAGTTTACAGACATATTAAATTACGCCAACTTTTTATTTCTGTCATGTCGAAGTCAAAATTTTCAGTACATTATGACCGTACGCATATTCAAAGTCATCGTTTTTACGACAGTGAAGTCTAAACTATAAATATATATACACACTTAACAAACGAACGAATGATACATAAATTAAGGCTTATTTAAATGCAGTTTGTTATCATTTTAAAGTCTGTATATATACTTTATTACTGTGGTGAACATTAACGTCAACTTTTGGGTTGAATATTTATTTAAAGTTAGACGTTACATTTCTATCAAAATGCATTATACAATTAAAGTAGACGGCCCAACTCAAACCGTTTTATGGAACTTAGAAAGTTTGGCATTCTTTAAAAACTAATTCTATTTTTACGTTAAGTTTTATTTTGTCACGTGGTGCTTTTAGAAATATAATCAACACTTATATGTGTTTACAAGTTTAAGTCTCTTAGTTTAATATATATAATATAGCATATTAAACTCTTATAATGCAAGCAGATAGGTCAAACCAGATTATGTATTTGGTTCGGATACCTAGTTAAAATTCTGATGTCAAATCAGGACAATGTCATTACACGAATGTTAAAACAATTTCATCAAGAAAAGTAGAATAACTTATAAATTCCAATTTACTCTCCAGTCTTGGTGTTATTTTGAAGCGGTTTTAGGTTCAATCATTCTCCATTAATCATGTAGTAGCATTATAATTCATTTTAAGTCTTGTTTATAATTTCTATAACTTATTTGTCTTTCATTTCGGGTTAGATCATTGATAATTCATTTCAGATTAAAACATATGTTTTATGTCAACGGTTACTTTATATGTTTGTTTATATCAGACATGTTGAATACATAACAAGGCAAAACTGGATGTTACTGGTTTACGTGAACAGGACTATTTGTGATGTATTTTAATTCATTTGGTTTGATTATTAACAACACGTACACGTTACACGTTATTATCAATGCAGCACTCAAGTAGAAGTTTTTTTTTCTTTTTGCACATTTTAGATATATTAAGGTACAATTCAAGTAAAAGCTTTTTTCCAGCTATAAGAAATAATCCTGAGTAAAATCGACGAAGGTTTATATCATTGATTTGAATTGTTTAGTATACTAATGATTATACATTAGGTGCTAGATGATAGTCGGTGAGAAATGTTACACTTTTCATTATCTGTCATTAACGTACTCAATAAAAACAAGTCATAATCTTGCTCCTTGTTTCCACTGCTCTAGAGGATGTTGTCCTTTCAAGATTTTTTAAGTTTTGATAAAATGGATAAATCATCCAATTCCGGTATATCATTTTTGAGAAGTAATATAAATGAGATAATTACAACTTGTTGCAAGAAATGCAAAACAAATGCGTATTCATCTTCTCATGTTTACAGTTGCAAGCCTCCAGGGGTTATATCATGCATTTAATTATGCACTTATTCTGGCATGTTAATATATCACACACAGAAAACGTCTTTCATTACAGCAGCGTATGACTTCACTTTTGCCGAAATGACTACAAGAAAAAGCCCTGTTTCGTAAAATAACCACAAGGTGATATTTTTTGGACCTTATGTTTTACTCTATCTATTACTCTTGCTTGTTTTTGACAGTAACAAAAACAACAAGATAAATCGAGGCTAAGTGTCTGAGTCGACAATGTCCTTCTTTATAGCATGTTTTCTAAGAAATGAACATCATGACAACGTAATCTTTTTCATGAAGGTCTTACGTTATGTAACAAAAATTCCCAGCTGTCTGCACTCAGCACTAGCAATAGTCAAACATTTGTATTCACCCTGATTCCGCAACTCTAAAATCCATTTAGTAGATAATGTTTTGATGAAATATATAATGCAGTCTGTGTGGAACAAACACCATCCTGGATCGCCAGGAAGCATAACACAAAATATTATAATAAAATTTATAAACATTTAAATTTGACTTACATTCCTCCAACAAAAAAGGTAGGAAATTTTTCCTTATTCATTTAATTTGAAACAAAATGTTATTGGAAATTTTACCCCAAAAATTTAATACAATTATAATTTAAAAAAAAAAAAAAACGTTTTTAAAGAAAAGTTAAGCAGATATACGACGATTTAAACCAGATCTGGTAACTTAGCCTGATAATAATGACGATACTCGTGATGATTTTTTTAAGTATCTACGTCTTCTAGTCAAATCTACATAAGAAAACAATTGTTCACAGCACAATTTTGTCATCTTATTTTACATCGATATAATATATCAGATCTGCTAGGATACTTTTTTTAAAATTCATCTCTAGTCTCAATCTTCACCCAGTATTACCTTTTGTAAATATTAAATAGTGTCAAGCGGTGTGTAGAGACAATTGACAACGACAACAACAACAACACCAACAACAATATATGAACGACAACACAAGCATAAAACTTGTCAAGACAGTGCAGAAATTATTGTATATACATGTATATAGACATGGTATACATTGTGTTAACGCCCTGTAACAACACTAGTTAATAGCGGTTCATAATTTTGAACACGTGAATCATTAAATATGCTCGAAAATCAGCGGGAACAGCATATTTACTTATACCTTAATAATGTTGTTATTCCTTAACGTGCAGTATCAAATTAACTGACTTATCATTTTAAGAGGCACTTTATGCCTCACAAATCCTTATTTTAGAAATGCCAAACATGTGCTTTATAATATTTTGATGATAAATTAAAGATTTTTAGATATTTAACAACTGCAGAAGTAGCGGTAAACATGCAGTAATGTGTCGTAAAGGTAGCAAAATGTCAACAAAGTAGTAATTTAACTTCCATACAAAATACTAATTCATTAGATTATATCGAAGCATGTATCACATTAACTTTTAATGTTCATTTTTTTCATTTTGTAAATAAAACAATGAATAATCAATAAAATTGCTATTTCAGCTTTAGAAATGCCTTTAAACATCACGAGCTTTAAGTATTAAGCCGTCAAAGTGTTACCTCAATTTACTAACAATTTCGTCTTAACTACTTTTTGTCTTCTTTTTTTTTCAATGATATACTCTTAATGTACACTCTCTATTGTTTCTTTAATTCTAGAGGTAAATTCAGTGCAGACGTTAACTTAAAATTTTATGTTTTTATTTCGTTTAAATAATATACAAACGTACGTCTAACGCAGGGAACGAATTTGTCAACACAAAAGAAATTAATAAATATGACACACCTGCATACAAAGACAGTGTGATGTGTACGGTCATATCCCACTTCATATGTAATGAGATGATATGAATATAATGACTGTATCACTAATACTACAAAATTATCATAAATCATAATTATATAAACTCATTAAGTCCGTATGTGTTAGGGCACTTAAAGATATTGTTTTGCTTTTAAACGAAACAAAATGTTTTTGCTACTACAGCTTTTAATTGAATAGGGAGAAATGCGTTAAAATACTTACACATGTGAATTTTAGAAGCGGCGACACACTGCATACCTGTACATAAAAATTGTTTTGTTTGTGCACACACGCTTCATGAAGGCCACTTGCTTCATAAAGGCATTCGGTTTTGACTAAGGTCGTTCTTTTAGAGATAAAGAACTAAGTAACATGTATGTTAACGTTTGAAACGCAGTTTATCGCATGTAATTCTGTGTGAAAATCATGCAAACATGTATATTAGTTTAAGCAATATTTATTTCCATCAAACATACATATACAAAATGTAATCATGATCAAATGAGTGAAACTCTCTCCTTGTATATTATCATAAAATTAATAGTTTTTCACAATATTTTAGTAGACACATACCCTTCATTTATCTTTACCTTTCCTCTTTTGTCATAATTCTTTTCTTTTTTCTATCATATTATCTTTTACACGTTTTTAAAATCCTCTTTTCTTCTTTCAAAAAGTTTTTTAGAAGATCTTAAGATAAAAATAATGTATTCATGATTGATTTAAATATTCTTGAATTTAAGTATTGATTCATTATGATATGATTGTTTGTAAATTATAATTAAAAAAATAAAACAGGAGAAAGTTTAATACGCTTTTAAACAGGATATACGCTCAAAACTTGACTAGATTTGACATTTTGACATTTAATGCCAGACATATCTTTATTTTGACATCATTATCGGATTGTAGTGACCTTCTAAAGTAATTGTTATGTATAAAAGTAATAAAAGTGACAACTTTAGCGGATAATATAATGTGACAGAAATATGCGATTTTTTTGTTTTGTTTTATTTTAAGTTAAAATTAGTATATAACCTAATTTTGCTTAGTTATAATTAGAAAGAAACACACACATTTAGATACAGTTATCTAACAATAAGTTAAAGCTTGTATTCTTAAATGGACAATGTAGATCTTTTGAACACAAATGCTTTGTTGTAATAAAAAGAAATTAACACTTTTTATGTAGTCTTTTCCTCTACATGCTATTCTCTTTTTTGTACATACATGAAAACTTTCGCCAGACTTGATGGTTTGTATTTTAGCTGGTCATTGCCTTGTGGGTCAGTATATAAAAAGTTCATACCAACTGGTCAAGACTTAGTTCTTGACCTCAAAAAGGACACTTTGCGTGCATAAAACAATTATGTTATCAAGCTCTACGTTGTATATACTTATATATAATATAGAAAAAGTATAAAGTGCAATTAAATTAACAATCATTTACGGAATGTGTTATATCATATTCCCAGAATAAAGTCTATATTTGTTTGTGAAAAAGAATGGCATCACTTACGTTATGCTATATATATTTTGTAAAAAAAAATAAACAAATAAGTGAATGGAGAATCACCAAGAAAAATATCACAAGAAATGATACATATTTCACAATGGCAAGAAATTTTATTTATCAATGGACAAAGAATCTCCTATTGTTCATTAAACCTGTTTGTGTATTTCACAATATGAGCCGCGTCACGACAAAACCAACATAGTGCGTTTGCGACCAGCATGTATCCAGACCAGCCTGCGCATCCGCGAAGTCTGATCAGGATCCATGCTGTTCGCTTACAAACCCTATAACAAGTAGAGAAACTGATAGCGAACAGCATGGATCCTGATCAGACTGCGCGGATGCTGGTCGCAAACCGATTATGTTGGTTTTGTCATGGCGCGGCTCATTTATAAGCATTACAGTGATTACACAAACATCGATCGATCTTTTTATGTCCGTTGTTTATTTAAATCAACAATGATTTAGTTATTTCATTCTTTATCATTCATGTAATGTATTTATATGAGTTATTATTATATATTGCTATATAAATGTGAACAACGTGTAGGTTCAATATTCGTTCTAACGAGGACAAAGTCTGGCGATCGAGTGCTCACAGTATATTCCTCTGCATGTACAAAATAAATTCCTATAAAGATAATCCATATGGCGCTTTAAACACGTGCTTGTTTTTTTATTCGTTCTTGATAATATTTCCATCACAAGTTAAACGCATAGAATTACATTGTAATGCACATTTTATTGTTCATTCTTTTTATTTTATTGAACGGGAAGTGGCTATTTCGTAATTGCGACTTATAGCAAATTATAATTGATTTGTATACACCAAACATACTGTATATATCTAATGAAAAAAAAACTATTTTCTTGAAATTGTTTATTTACCAAAAATGGTTATTGATTTTGTTATCATTTATCTTTTCAGGGCAAAATGGTACGACTCTAAATGCGACTCTAAACACGCCTTGGCAGCTTTCGTGGAAGCTGTTGAAACATATGACCCGGATGTTATCATGGGACCTCCGTGTTCAACAGGTAATGACGTCATCATAACGTCATTGTATTTAATATTTTTCGGAAAACTATGTTTGATATCCATTTAGTTTCATTTGTTGACGTTTTCAACGATATAATTTCATTGTCAAGGAATAAACAAGTCTTTGTATTACCTAACAACATTTGTTCATTTCTACAATGTATCGTTTGATAACATTAGAATTATACATGCATAATGATATGTTGCCAAATATTGCAATTTCATTTTCAATCAAATAATCATTTTCGAGAAACTTAAGATTTACTCCATATCCTGAGAAAAAAATATTTCAATTCCAATTAATTACCTAATTAAAATATTTGCTTATCATAATTTCTACAAATTATCAAAATGGAAAAAATGACACTATCTGTATTGCCATCTAAAGCATAAATGAACATTGCCTTGATATTTTAAGCTATACCAAATATTAAATATTTAGATAAAAAACACAATGAATATGCCTTTAAAAATCTTTTAAAAAAATGGAAATCACTCGAGACCAAAGAAAACAAGTTGACAATTACAAACTCAGCTTTATTACGTCGGTGGTTCTACTCAAGTATTAGTGCCTAAAATAATGCACGGAAGGCATCTGAGGTCCTCCTCTATCTATCAGTAAAGCTGGACCGTCGCCATATGACCTATACTGTGGCAGTGTGACGTAAAAGCCAATCAAACAAACAAAACAAAAAACAGTAAAATCTGATAATATAAGATGTTATTTGCAACAGCCCTTACGCTGTTAGCGGTCTTCAATCTTCAATACTAATATATACCAATTATACAACAAGTTCGTAAAATAAAATTTGACTTTCATTCCATGTTGGATATTCCCGTCGTGACTACAGAACAATTTATCGTTCATTTATTCTGATAGACTTAAATTGTGATGTTAGAAATATTGTTTCCTACAATATATATTATACATGTTATGATATAGTTATGCATCATTTGATAAATAAATTTACCATAACAGATCATTGAAATACCAAAAGATGATACAATACGTACCTTTATCCTGCTGAATGTGTGTAACAAATTAGCCTGGCTTGTCTTCAGTCATGTGGAACAGTTCATTTTAAATTAAAATATAAAAAATAGAGCTACCAAAACATATAGTGCCTGGTCAGACTGAACAGTGGGGATATTTAAGTTAAAGGTTTCAACATAAATGACTATTTAATTAATTATCACTATAATAAAGTAACCAAGTAATTTAATTGAAGCCTATGATTTATCCACATTAAACTAAAGTTAGCACTTTGTGAATTGCAATAACCTTAGTACTGTTTGCAGTTAATGTTAAACTAGAAATATAAGAAACATGTTCATTCAAACTTGACAAAACACTTTAAAGTATTCTATTACCCTTGGTATCTTCTTTTGCATATGCTTGCATAAATGCATACATTTATCCAAAATATTAGTTTAAAGAGCGTAATTAAATTTGCATAATACTATAAGAGAACCAACATCCTTAAGATAAAAAATTTAAATTTCTTATTATTGCAACTCTAATCTGTATTTTTCATCGAAAAAAGCTAAACTCTGGAGTAACAAGAAAAATATTACATACATTCGTATGTAATATAGGTACGATTGCATACTACTTTTTGTGAAGACTTTATGTTTGCTGAATTAAAGGTGTAATGTAAAATGAACAAACATGTCATGAGATATTTTATATCTTTAAACATTTTCATGGAATGTTATTAATGTATCACCATATTAAAGTTGCATGCCTTCAGATGAGAAAAATGATTTCAAGGAAATCAAAATATGAAAAGAAAATTCACGGTCAATTGACTGCTTTGAAGCATAATCACAAAATAAAATTACAGGAAATTAAAAACCTTTTCAATACACTTAAGGTAGAATTTCATTGTAAATCATAGTCAAAGATTTGAGATATGATTATTTATTCATATTAACCTCATTATTGGTTATATATTGATAAAAAAAACCGAAAGACACAGTTTGTAAATATTTATTACAATAAATTATGAAAAAGGTATACGCGCCGAGGTTAACTATAATTGAAATTCCCGCGCTAAGTCGCGTAGGTGCTTGGGATAATCACTTGATACTGTAAATGGCAGCCATTTTACGATACGAATCCTCGAAAAGTTTATTCTGCCGAAAAGATATGAAAAATACTTGCAATTCAAAGTTTGCTGGCTACATAAAGATTATCGATTTACTCTTTGCACACTTTTTCTCTGCCTGAGTATAATAATATTGACGTGTTTTCATTGGCTTAAACCATCACGTTACCAATACACATGTAGGTGTGAACTAATTTCGTGTTCATTAAAATTATTCCCGTTAATAGACATATAACAATCTTATTTACAATGAATTGATAAAACAACAATCCCAGAAGCATTTAAGATAATAACAATCATTGAAAAAAAAATAAATGCATATAAATTGTAAATTTGTGTATGACAACTCAACCCCCTAAACAAAACATAATAGACTCAACCAAAACAAGCGCCTGCTTCTTCACCTAACTATGTAGTTGCATGACCATGATTAGCAATTTAGCAAACCAAATCTAAGAGATAAACCTATTGTAAAAATAATACTATGACCACAGCAGATTTCGTACAGAAAACTTAATATTGTTATGATATATTTAGGTGCATACAAACAATTATATTATTTAAATGTTGTTCAGTGGATAATTTTCAATGTTGTTGAATGGATAATTTTCAGGTCTTCTTGGCGTTGCACAGTTGGGCTCAATCTGGAATCTACCGGTGTTCAGCTGGGTGTCCGATTTGTTAGACTCTAAAGAGAAGGATAAATACACAACTTTGATAAGATTGTCAGGTCCTCTTTACTCTCTTTGTAAGTAATAAAGCTAATTATCTTCTATATGAAAACGTGTCTTAATCAGACGTTTGTCGTGGTAAAGTATGACAACTGTGAATTCAAGTGCTTTAAATTTTGTTAAGCGTTTAAATAGAAATGAATTATAACTTCTTTCTTTCAAAACATGTAATACACTAGAGCCGAACGGCTTATAATTGTTAATGTATGGAAAGCTAAAACTTGGTAACTAGCAGTACAGTGTCTGGTTAGACTACATGGATGTACACGCTGGTCGGGCTCTATACTAACGCTATAGGTCCGCCTGTACGTACAGTACAACCTCTCCCGAACGACCCTCTGTAGAGCAATAAGTTCTTTACAACAACGGTAAAAATTCTTCTCCAAACAAATCAGTCCAGTACAATTAAACTTTGCAGAGGAGAGCATCACCTTTTAGCAATAAACACAACTGCTGGGTACAAAGCAGATGATTTTTACTGCATTGCCACTACAATAATATGAATATTTGTTATTATTAAATGGGGAAAAATGTAGATTTTTGGATTGAAATTGGCTTTGTAACCGTTTAAGGACACACATTTGACTGTTCAAAACATTCAAAATCGCGCATACAGTATAATTTTAATTGTTTCATTGATTGTATGCAGTTCAATTGTTTAACCAATAGCACATGTACAACAACATGGCGACGTGATACAAGTTAATTAAAATGGATGGTGTTTCAATTTACAAACATATTCTGATAATTGAGTATCCTAATCATTCTGAGCAACACATGTTGCACACGGGACAAAAAACATTTGTATTAGATAACTGACAAACGGGGCAAGCAGATATTTGTAGAAGTGAAAAATTTAATTAATATGAATAATTTAGTTAGATCATCATGAAATTTACACTTATTTTGAAATGAGTGTTTATTAATGTATGCATTTGTTCAATTAGTTAGTAATATCTAAATGTAGATCCCGTAGACGATATTTTTACTTTAACTACTTACAAACAGATTAAATCAAATAGTTAGAAATGGAAACCTAAATGAACGCCCTTAACGGCAAAAAAACTGTTATGTACAGACTATGTTTGATTCCGCCCGTTATGGAAGGTAGTGTTTTTAAAGTGAACTTATGTGACACACCTATCCTGCATTTTTTATATTTTAGGAATGTACGCGTATCATATGATGTTAAGATGTTTATTTAGATCTATGTAATTCATTAAAACAAAATTTAGTATTGTAATGAATTGCCATTTTTTTGTCATACATCTTAAAGTTCGTTGACTATTTTCACGGTTATTTGCCTTGGTTATTCCTTGAAAAAAAATGTTTTCGTTTTCATTGTACGTGTTCGTGTTGAACAAATTTTCTTGTGTTTTGCCCGTCGGGGACGGGTTAGTTGTAAATCAGTAGATCATATGATGACATACGAGAATATTGTTTTTCTTTTATCGTGATCTATGTTAATATTGACAGATGAGTGACAATCCACAATGTCTTTATAGATGCTATTTATAGCATCTCTGTTTATAACAAATACACTGAAGTAAGCCGTAACTTTAATAACATAAAACAACAATAGTTAAATAAAAAAAAAACAACAGTGTACGATTCAAAGAATATAACTGCTGTAAGATATGGTGGCCGATTTGTGCCATGTCGTATTTTCATATTCTCGGTAACAACTTTGTCATACACGGAGCGAGAACACGAAAATCAGTGGTGACTTTGTCATATAATCGTGTTTTCGCCTGACGCCCCGCGGAGCGAAAGTACGACATGGCACAAATCAGCCACCATAGTAAGAAAATACTCAACTTAGTAGTCAATTATAGTTACATGTGTACCGAATATATTTAATAATATATAAACATGTGTACCGAATATATTTAATAATATATAAATAGACATGATATTTATTATGTAAAATAGACGTGGTGTTTCCTGACAGGCCTGCTAACAAAGCCGTGCGTTTCTTGTCATAACATAGAGATCTTAGTTTAAATATATTTGTAAATGACTTTAAATGCTGTCTTTCATAACACATAATAAAATTATGTAGTTTCATACTGTTTTGTTTTTCATTGAAGCAAACCATCTATATTTTGGGATCCCCAACATTGTAGCAGTCTATGTCACAATAAAATAATCATTTGTAAAATCTCTGGTATGAAAGTGTTCAAGTTGTTGTAAATACTGATATTTATAGCTGTAAATATTATTATTAATATCATTAAAGCAAATAAGTGTCACAAAAACCTTTCCCTGACATGTACATCGAGTCAGCGATAGTTTACGCATACGTGCCTAGATTCTCCTTGCAATTTTCGAGAGGATGTAACAATAATTTGTTTGTACCTTTTCTCGTGCATAAACATCTGCAAAAGCACGAGGGCGTATTTAAAGCCCGAGCCCGCAGGGAAAGGGGTTTGATATGTCCGGGGAACTGCCATGTAATATACATATATCTTTGATAAGAATGTCATCTGCAAAAAATGTTTGCAACTATCATAATTCTTAAGCGCATTTTTGTTATTTATTTGTTTTGGTCGTCAGACCAAACAAATAATGGTAGCGAAATTTCAGACCCTGATATGCTTATTTGCAAAAACCGAAAGTAGTCCGAACTCCTCGAAGCGGTTACTTCCCTTTATAAGTACACTAACGCCGAAAATTTAAGGGGAGATCACTGCGTAAAAATTGTCAAATGACAGGCGCATTAATTTTCAAGCCTTCCCGGGGTCCCGATTGGCCGAGGATTTCTAATAATGTGTAATTCTTTACAGATATACATGCTTATATTAAGCTCCATGATTTTTACATCAGTGTTAAACAACAGGTTTACCGTGAACAAAATATCTCGAAATTAATAAGAGTTACAGACCTTAATTTAGAATACTGTGGTTTTCTTCAGGCTGTTATCTTATAACTCCCCCATGGTCAATGGTTACACGCTCGTTTAGGAAGCGAGAGGTCTGTTCAAATCCCAGATTAGGCAACTCACTTTTTTTTTTAAATTGTTTAAGCCAAAAAAACATTGAATTGAATATCAGTGTTGCAATTAGCCTTATAGCCAATTTACTACAGTTAGGACACTGGAAACAGCATTAGTTGCACGATACAATCAAACGGCTGCAAGCTCTGTGGTATTTTCTGATCTTTGCAATTTAAATCGTACTGTATATCTGCATGTATTTCCTGTATAAGTTTATTTTTATAATCTATAATTCATCTTGCAGGGCGCCTAGATGCAGGGACTGCGTTCAGATTTTTTACAATAAAAGTTTGAGTGTGATACATACGGAATTTTACATGACTAGAGTTGCATCAAAAAATCATTTATGTTCATTTTTTATGACAGCCACACTTTATCCTTGCATATCGTGGCTACTTTCTTGAAAACCAATTTAAAAAATAGTTGCCTCGACTGCGATTTGGACCCCAGACCTATCACACCCTAAACGAGCTCGTTACCACTGCATCACGAAGAAGTTATACGAAGACAGTCTGAAAAAAAATCAAATCATTCTAAATTTAGAATTTTTATTTTAGGGTTTGTAATCCTTTTTAATTTCGAGGTATTTTGTTCACAATTAACCTGTTGTTTAACACTGATGTAAATACTTTAGCAAAAATCTTCTCGCCAAAACAGTCCGACATGTATATATTCCGTTTCAGTTTTTTATTAAACCAAGGCATATAATATTCAACTAGCTATAACAAACAAACAAACAGAGAAATAACAGTTAAAAATCACTAATATCACAATAAAAGAATACAATTATGACTGGCTAAATAAACAAAAAAGTACTCGACAATCAGATTTATTTGTGTAATACGTTCTGAAGTATTCGGTAATCTACATTGCTAAAAATAGCATTTTCATTGATTAAAATGATATTCATCCGCGTAATTTGTGATTGTGCATTTATTGACAATTCTATAAGCCAACGCTACTTTTAAACTTTGTATGTGTTGTAATTTGTTGGATACTTGTAACAAAATAAAAATATTTCTTTCTTTTACATCGCTAGTTTTAAGCTGTTTTGAGAACTACTTGTTGTTAGGTTTGTCCCAGAGATTGAATGTCAACATTGTATTTCCTGATGTGCGATCAGAAAATACAAAAACAAATTGGTTTATAATTTCACTACCTTCACTTTTCTGACATTCTGAGACCCAAACAAATTCATCGCCTTCTATGCTTTGATTTTTGTTGTGTTTTTTTTTTCAATAAACTAAAAAATGGAATCCTTTAAGCATATGACCATAATATCAGACATGACAACAATTGTATACAGGGCTTCATAAATATGCAGGACTACGTATATCAAGTTGACAATATATAAACTGTCTATAAAGTGTCGTTTGCTTTCTTAAGACTTCAGTTTCATTCAACAAAGGTATAATTGTATCATTTTCATTCATCATCTCGTTTCCTGGTCAAATGACTGTAGCCATAGCCAAGAGTTTAATTTCTGTTGTGTCAAGAACATTGATTTGATCATAAATATAAAATGATACATCTTTGACTTTGACATTCTGTCATACACTAACCACATATATTTGTTTCTGCTCTGATTGAAGATTTGCTATGTAAGTATTCGACCATTCTAATATGAACCACGTCATTTTGTCCTATTTTCTTCCCTCAAGGTAAACTTTATGTTTATTTGCGTGCAAGAAATAATCATCACGTGGGATAGGTAGTCACTTTCAGTTAATTGGTAACGCAGGAGATGGCCTGTTAAGTGTACCGACCACCGAGATGTAACCAAAAATGTGTTGAAATCAGTACAAAAACCCAGTGTGAAAAATTGTTATAAATTTATCGAGTCGTGCTTCATAGTCTCTGATCCCCAATCCAAATTTTATTTAATATGTTCTGTCCATATGTTTCTCGTTACGAGCGCATACATATTTATTTTCTAATTCGATATGTTAAAATAATTACCTTATAATACATTTGTAGTCTAGGACAAAATTAACAACAAAGGTAATTAGGATGAAGGCCTTCGCATTGTTTCAATATCGAACTTTTTACTGTGGACAATTCAGCGGTTTTTTTTTTGTTGTTTTTTTTTTGTTGTGGTTTATTTTTTATTGTTGTGTTTTGTAGGAAAAACACGACGTTGATACTTTAACATTATAAAAAATTAACGGTTGTTTGTTCATTTTCAGTTATACATATATCATAATTTATTGTTAATAAGGAACTCGGGAAGTTAGGGAGAGGTTAGCGTGTAAAACTAAACTTTATTAAATTGTCCTAAATTTTAAAATAAAAAGCCACTCATTACTTCTTTGATTTTTATACGCTATATAAACAGGCCCTCCAAACAGTCGTCAGCAAACACTAGAGAATGTCAGAATCACATTAAAGATTTTCGTTTTCATTTCAGATATGCAGTTAATCTTACGTTTCATTTTGTAAAATATATTTATGTATTTGCATTAACTGTTTTTGTTCAAATGTTTTACAAAAAAAAAACATTTAATGATTTAAATCGTACTGTATATCTGCATGTATTTCCTGTATAAGTTTATTTTTATAATCTATAATTCATCTTGCAGGGCACCGAGATGCAGGGACTGCGTTTAGATTTTTTACAATAAAAGTTTGAGTGTGATACATACGGAATTTTACATGACTAGAGTTGCATCAAAAAATCATGCAGTTAATCTTACGTTTCATTTTGTAAAATATATTTATGTATTTGCATTAACTGTTTTTGTTCAAATGTTTTACAAAAAAAAACATTTAATGATTTTTGCTTTAGTACTAACTTAATATAATAGTATATCTTGCTAATCTAATTTTAGCAACAACAATGCGACAGATTGGTTTGTATTTCAAATGGGAGAATTTTGCCCTGATTTACGACAAGCAAGCCCCGTACGAAGCTGTGGCCGTGGCATTGAGGGGAGCAACCATGGATAAGACCTATACCATAAAGAGCACACATTATATTTCCGGTGAAACCACCGATGAGTACATTGTTTCAATGTTACAACAAATTAAAAAGTTTGCAAGAGGTATCATTTTGTCGTTTTCAACCTTTTGTTAGCCTTATATTTGCAGAATTCTTGCTTGTAATTAATATAAAAACATGCTATTTCAGACTTAGAAGCTAGTTATACTAGTAAGTAATTTTCCTTTTTATAGACAATCTGTAAGAAACTTATAGATGGTAAGCTATTACAAATATCCTGTATGTAAAGTTTTGTATGTAAATAAACGTTTTTTCTTTTTATTTTCCAGCATGCTATCATTCTAATTTGACATGTTTTATATTGCCATAATAGAGATTGCTACGGTTTTGGACTAACAATGCGCTAAATGTCACAAATTTGGGCAGTCTAGAATGAAGTGGATTTGCGCACTTTATTACCTTTAATCACCAACCTATATATATACCATTGCTGATATTAGTGAACTGGCTTTCCTATTTTCCTTATTTTAGACCTTGCTACTGCATCTTCTTTCTCCTTTATATGTTATTAATATTCTTTGGGCAAATTAGACTAAATTTTCCTAATGTTATTTATATTTACAGTCATGATTTTTGTTGTACCTTGGCATACATTACGTCGTTACTTATTGCTGGCCCATGAACTAGGTATGGCTAATGGAGAATATGCGTTTGTCTGCGTTCATGGAGATGTAAGTTGATACAATAGTCTTATTTCAAACATAATACGACAGATGTTTTGCTTGTTTACATTGTATTGTTATTGTTTTTTTTACTTTCTAATGTCTTTTTCTTTTCCACATACCACTTAACATAAACGAAAGTAAAATATGTCGTTATATAATGTTACAATTCAAGCGTTGAGCTATACATGTATGATTTTAATGCATTTCGGAATAAAATGTTTTTATTTGCTTTCCGTTCCTTATATACAGAAAAATATAGCACAGTTTCTTATAGTTCCATATTGAAGATAAAGTTATTAAGTCATTGTTTCAGTTGTACAACTGGGATGTACTGGACGAGAAAATATTGTCAGATTGGGGATGGAGGCGAAATGACGAACATGATGAAAAAGCGCGGGAAATATTTGAATCCGTCATTCACGTAAGATTTGAATAAATTTGATTAGTAATTGACAAACAACTTTCATATAATTATAGAAGTTAATAATTAAATTTAGATGCATAATTAATATTACATTTTGGATTTGCATTTTTGAAAAGAATGCCCTCGAGGCCGAGTTGTGAAGGTTGCATTCTGCCTGTTTATGAATCCAAGTATTTGCATTGTCATATAAGTACAATGTATTATTGGAAACCGTTACTTCTTGTGCAAAAACAACCGGGTAAAATGTGATATAATATCTAAAAAGGGATGACATACTAGAAAATTTATGAAATTGTCCAATTTGCTTGAAACGTTTAAGTTTGCTGGGATAATCTAAAAAAAAATAAAAAAATCTTATTTAAAATAAATAGCTGTACGAATGATTTAAGACAAACAAAAGGTGAATAATCTAAATATATTTACATTTACATATCATTCATATTTAATTAATGGCATGATTCGCAAATAAATCAAGAAACAGTATATATCTAAATTTGTCATATTATATAAAGAAATATACATGTACTTAGTTATGAAACTTTATTTACATTCAAAAATGAAGAAATATATGTTAAGCATAAGGCGTTTCTGCTTGAACAGGCGTGCCTTAAACTGTTATTTAATATTTCAAGTGATGAACATTTTAATAACCGTTCGTGATTTTCAGTAAATTGAAAAAGTAAAAACATAATTATGATGAAGCTGGTTTGTTTATTTGAGTGATACTGTGTCCGGGTCACCATATCATGGCGTGCAGTGAATATACAATTGTTCATAGATTTTACGGAAATCATTTTTTAAAATGATTCCCTTATTTGTAAAAAGTATAATAAGTAACATGTAATGTCTGAAATACATAATTGAGCACGAATATCATTAGTTAATTGTCTTAAAAATTATATATTCGCCTTGCCAATGAGTCCATCGCACGAATCCACGGATAATGCTCTTTCTCGTAGAGTTGACCTGTCCTTCTGCTTAGCGTATCATCTTGTAATGTTACTTAGTATCTAAGTTCTATTGTTTTTCACAGGTAATTATGGAGCCCGTAAATAAGCTAACATATGAAGATTTTAAGAATTTTGCAGCCGGTGCCGCCGTGGTAGACCTACCAGATTGGGAAATACCTTTCAATGGAACAGACGTAAGATTATCTTTAAAGTGTAATCTGATATCGTCTTCTTATTTCTTTAAAATATGATTTTCTTTACATTGTCCTAGTTCAGGTTCACGTAAAGTGATTATCCATGTAATCCATGTAATAAAGAGCCTAGAACCTGCTTTATCTAACATACAGTCAGGAACGTTATAAACTAACGTAAACTATAATTTTCAACTACAGGGTAAAATCGATTTTCATTTTTGTGTGTTAAGTATTTACTGTTGCATTTCGGTTGTCCTTATCTGCCGCACTTCCTAAAAATGCGTCATCTTTCCGGAAGGTAATGCGCGGCAACAGCCGTTGACATTTCTATATCCAATCCTGGATCTTTGACATGTTCATTGTCGAGCACCGACACTTGTGATCTCTGTTTTTAGGGTCTCATTCGAAGGACTATAATTACTTAAGTAGTGGAGTTTGTCATTGAACCAGTGACCCCTGGATTTGTTAACAAGGGCTTAATTCCAAAGCAGTCTTATATAACTGTCGTCCATCTATTTATCCTCTCACACTGTCTTGATTTTAAAAAAAACTGGCTCTTTTAGAGATTGTTCAATATTACTTATGTCGCCTGTATTAGTGTGCAACATATTTATATAATGTACGAGTATTTGCAACCTTTACGTAATTAGGACCACAACTAACCAAAACATTCGTTAATAGAATGCTTTCAGTTTCACTGTTACTGTCAAGATATATTTACATATGATTAGAGGTGCAGAATATTGAAAATAATTTAATATCAAAGTTTTTTTTAAATGCTTTTGTAACTCTAAAATTTCAACATATTTATTAACATATTTTGAAAAACAGAAAATATTATGAGGTTACAGAGTACAAGAATTTAACTAGCCATCTGGGTTTAAACAATACATTTGTATTGTTATGTTGAAAGTTCTTCGAGAACAAATGCATCGTGATTAGTATGCGAGTGTTTATATACAAAACATTATTCAAATAATAATTAAATGTGCATATTAACTTTAAATGAGCAATTAATCAAAACACTACCTGATGTAAAGGTCATGTGCCGTTAATTAATGACAATGATATGAATATATATCCGTATGGCCAGGTCCTCTTTATCATTCATATTAGACATTTTATTTAAAATGACATGTTTGCAAACAATTACTGTAAGGTTTGGATATCAGGTGGGACAGAATACTTGGGTCTTCTTTAAAAATTTGTTTTTACCATATTGAAACTTTGTGTTCAAATCCATAAGAATAATCTTTTATATAGACATCACATAAATCTATTATGTATCTCACATGATTACAGCTGGATGCATATTCGCCTTTTTTGTATGACGCAATGTTGACGTGGGCTATGAGCGTGAACCATACGCTGAAACATGGAGGAAACCCTAGAGATGGAGCGCATATATATAATATTGTTCCGGAGGCCGGAAATATAGAAGGTCCGTATAATAATAATAGTAACTCAAATAAAGTATAAACCTTATTGATGTAAGTCACTAATGTCAAAAAATATTAAAAATGTAGCCAACTTAATACTTTTTTTCTTGAAAAAGCGCATGAATGTATTTTTTTTTCAAATTTTTATCATTTGTTTCAGCTGTACCTAGAATTTGTTCAAATAATATTATGTTACTTACATTTTGGGAATACGGACTAAATTTGTTTTGGTTAAAATTAACGCTTGAAATTTGAATTGATGAATTATTGCTTCACCAATATCATATTGACAGAAATATTACAACATGTATAGAAATATAACAACATGTATTAAAAAGCCATTACATGATCTATTCAATATTCGATTAAAGCAAATGCCAACCATTAGTCAGAATAATTAGGATTCAAACCGATAGGAGTTCATATCAAAACTCTTCTTTTTCAGGTGTTACTGGAGACATAGTTTTTAACCTGCCCGAGATGGAACGTATGATGAACTATCGAGTACTGGATATGAATGAGAATGGAACATTCTACAGACTTTTCGATTTTATTTACAAGCCGGGCAGAGAGATGAAGTTTGATCATGTGCGTACAAACCTTTTACTGTAGTGTAGGATTTATTAACATATAATTTACGATAATGTTCATGAATGAATCACCTGAGGCTGTTAAATCTATCCTTGATAAATTGTTGAAGCGGACTTCTCCATCTGTAATCGTAGCAATATCATTTAAGGATTTCAGAATAAAACATTGGTTTGCAGTGTTAAAAACTTAAACAAAAAGTGACAAAATATTTGTCACCAGTAATAGTTTGCAAATCCTTGATCAGGCTCTATACCATTGGTAGCCTATTTTTGTATATTGATTTTGAAATCCTTTAAATTTTGAATGGGGTTGTTCACAATTCATAGCCGACCAAATCCGCGAAAAGAGTGTCTGCGTTTCAGCTCATGATGGCAAGCTAGATGGTAAAAAGAAGAGATGCCGCTAGCAAGTGTTAATGAATGTTTTTTTAGTGAATATAGATTGAGAAATCATCTGTCATTTCCTAAATACATAATTCACATCAAGATGATTTGAAGTAAGACTGGACATCTTTAATATTTTTATTCTAAAAGTCCACATTTTATCAGATATAAATGAAATGCAAAAAAAATGGAGCATTTTAATAAGCATGAGAATTGGTGCACCACCCAATATTCTTTACGAGTTTTATAGTTTTCAAAAGACCAAAAAGACCTCCCCTTTCAGAACTTATCCTTCTGTTTTGAATAGCTGTGATATTTTACATTTATAGGATGACCGTGAGATCTTTGAGAAGCGTGGACGCTGGCTTTCACTGACCGGTGCACCCCCGCCTGATATACCAGTCTGTGGCTTCGATGGTGAAAAGTGCGAGGAAAAAGTCTATAACAGTATGTATAATCAGTTCTATTATTAATGTAAATATAATAAAGATCTTACATTACCATACCATAATACGGCAGCGAAGTGTATATTGTTGTTATTTACATGTGTTGAACGGGAGGGAGGTGTTATTGAGATTAACTATTTGCAGAAACTAACAGATATCACGTTCATGTAGTTTTGAAGGGAAATATTTAGACCCAACCCATTTTATTTACAAATATAAAGAAGAAAAGATAGATACATTATTTTAGTCACGGCAATCCACATGTTTCTGTTTCCAATTTATGTACATTTACGTACATTTAAGAACATATTGTTTGTACACAATATGATATCGTTTGCAACAATGCTTAAATAGTTTTAGGAACTTGAACGAGTGTAACGTTTTACGAGTACACTGTATCTCCTCTTATAATAAATTAACATGACATTGTTTGTTGTTTTTCCAGACAGTTACAACAGTACAATTATTGGTGCCTCAGTGTCCGCCTCGGTCGTTTTGGTTTTAGCTATTGTTGTTCACATGATGCTAAGGTACTGTACAACATTTTTCTTATCTTATTTACAACAAATATTAGTTTTGAGCAGAACCCACCTCCACCATATCCCTCCTGCTTCCCCCACCCCCGTTTCCTGCTGCCTGTAGTTACTGACACAGCCGTAACGAAATATCCCGGCTACAACTCACATAACCTTATTATAAAACTAAAACAGAATTAAAACGTCATACATCAAAAGTGAAGAGAGTATTTTAAAAGCCGTTGAATCTTATTCAACCTCTTTCTTTAAATGTTCACAAACGGTTTTTGAAGAGACTGTAAATGTGTTTTAGATATAAAACAACATACCTGACACTTTGCCAATCACGAATAACTTATGTGCGTAAAATAAATTTAACGGCTGAAAGAAACAGGTCACGGAAATTCATTAAAGCAAGAAATTAGACAAAAGTTTTAAAATTTTATTTTGAAAAAAGTGATCGCATTTAAAGGGAGATACAGGCAAAATTTTCATTTCTTAGTTTTGAATGTTTCATTCAATATTCTGTAAATGCCATCAAAATAAATATATTAGACAGTCAAAGGAACAAAACTTTTCTCCATATAAAGAATAAAATGATGGTTTTCCTAACATGACCCGCGTGGGTCAGGTTAGAGCGCTTACATTTCACAATAGTGGTCAAAGAGAACTCTGGAAACGTTAAAGAACATGTCAAATGAATGACTTAGGCTTGCTTCAATCATACAATATCCACAATATCTGTTATTGTAATTTCAAGGGTTTGTTCAAGTCACCTGACTTGTATTAAAACTATTTGGTGATTCTATTTGCGTCCACATTTTGTTCAACATATATTGATATATTTACGCTTCAAACCCAAAATATATAGAATTTAAACAGAAATGCATGCTGAAACTTCAAGAAAAGTCATTTTAGCATGATTTGAGTACATAAGATCATTTTAATAATTTTGTCATTATTTTGCCTGAATATCCCTTTAAAGTATATACAAAACAATTTACATTCTCATTAACAACCTTGACCGCTATCTTTATTTATTTAATTATTTCAAGTTAAATGTATGGGGAATAACCTGGGAAAGTTACAACTTCCATTGCCCAAAACAAACTGAACGTAAAAATTCCTAAAATGTTTCACACTTGAAACGTCTTTTCCGCTCCAAATAGACAAGACATTGCATTATTGTATCTTAATGAAACCTTAAAAAATACAGTACAAGTAAAAAAAAATGTAAAAGTTTATGTTATAATCTTGAACTGACAAAAGGGCAGAATAAAAATCAGTAAGTTATGCAAAGATTTGTTACCAATGGATAGATTCCTACTATGACCTAAAACATTGACCAGTGCTCTTTTGTTAACAAATATGTTATTGTAATCTACTTATCTGATAATAAGAATTAAACAGGATTTCGGGGTTTTATGCATCAAATATGGGAGAAGCATGTGTAAATACGCCTTTAACTGGCCTTATGTGAAATGTATTATGTTTACACGTGTTTGTGAATGATTTTTACAAAACATTTTACCTAACCTTGCAAACAGAGCGTGTTAATCCGGAAATAATGTCTGTTGTGTCTGGAAAAGAACAATTAAACCTTTTTTTAAGAACACTATAGCATAAAGGAGACAATCAAATGTTACATCGTTCAAACTACTTATGTATTAGAAAGCTCGAATGCAACTACAGTCATGCAAAACATCTATTGATAAAATGTCATTTACGTGACAGATTTACAAGATCGTTTTATGTCAAACTGCAATGTAAACATCATCCACGCATTCATCTGGTCTTGCTTTATCATGATTTTATCTGAATACTTGTCTTCAAAACATTATGAAATCCATTTTTAAATGTCTGTAAGGATGCTTTTCCACACCTTTGATATTATTTTTTGCGTCTTTATATTATGTATAAGTGTTAAACACAATACCCTGCTGAATTTATATAATACACTTGTACTCTTTTGAATTTAAGAGTTTGAGGCAGTTCACTAACATTTTGAAAGGAATGGAACAGTCATCAGTATAGATAGTGTGGTTGGCCTGGCTATGTACTAGTGACATAGATAAGAAACTTACTCCATTTGCACTCCTTAGCTCATTAAAGACCTTTATGTTTTCCTTTGGTGCTCTTTCTTGACTGGTTATATAGAATTGAGGGACTATTTCTCACTTAGTAGCCTTATATTGTTGTAGACACCGTATTACTTTAAGAAATTCAAGGATTCTGAAACCTCAACCGAAACAAGTAAATATACTCGCTAACCATTTAAGCTTTACAAGTGCAATACAAGTAGACATCGTGTTTAATGAGAGCTAGATAAATTCCTATAAATAGTGTGTAGAAGTTAAGCTTGTTGTTCGCTTTTGAGTTTTAGCAGAAAATAATAAAATATTTTTGTATATATTAAAATATCGCTGTGACTGAAAAATGAGACATATATTGGGTTAAATCATGAGAACAAAGATCAACAAAGCAAGATGACGTTCACGGAAAGCCACTCTGACATAACAATACAGCAAAACACGACATCCGGTTAGGTATTTAGCTTGGCATGAAATTGAATTTGGGGGCGTACCAGTTATTGTAAGAAAATAATACTATAAAAGAAATAGCATAGGAAAATGAAATGAGGACATTATTGTGTTATGCAATTTGGTAATTTCAGTAAGTATCAGCTCTTTATGTCGTTTCCATTTAAAAAATAATTGCACACGTTATAGATGTCAACTAGTTTTATAAAAATAATCATTTCATTTTCCAGGCGTTACCGCCGACAGATGAACCTTCAAAGTATGTTGTGGCAAGTTAGATTTGACGAGATAGACTTTGTAACAGCATGGATATGCGGCAGTCTTCGGGTAAAAATCCTTCATCATTTTTAATTCATTGACATGATAAAATATGTGTGATTTATTTCTAATATTCTCCCTTTTTCTAAAAGTCACCACCAGGGAGGAAAGGAATTGTTTAATGTATATTGAATGCTAGAGGGAAGGATTTATGTCCTACAGTATGGATTTATAAACAAGACACTACGTTATGCATAGAATGTTTTATATATTTAATTGAGTGATAAAGATAGGGAAAAGCCTGCTCTCTAATTTGAAATATTCTAAACAAACACTAGAACTTAAAGTAAGTCAAACGAATGGAAGAAAAACTAATGCTTTCTAAGTCAGTGTTATAAACCTTATATAACCATATATAGACACTTGCATGTTTAAGGCGCAAATGAATCACTTAAATGTGTCCAGCAATACAAAGACAAACATGAAAAATAAATGACTGATACAAAAACTTCGGCTTATATTATTAAAATTTTCATTTACATCATTCAGAACAGCTTCAAAAATCTACGAAAACCGTCCTCAAAAACGCTTAAACGAAGAAGGTACAATACAGGTGACAAGGACAACAAAGACATTAAGCAAATAACATCACATAATGGGAAGAAAGGTTCGCCAGATGTCCATTTAAAGTCAATTGATGCAAGCGCCATGTTTGGATCTGTGGCTATTGTTAGAGGTATGTTTGATCCTTTGCAATTATGTTGTTTAAGGATTTTACTACAAGTATATGATTTTTTTAAATTAATATAGCTTTTGTGGTTATTTAAAAAAAAACATGATAGATAAATACATCAAAACTTTGAATAATATTATAATAATATGACTATATTGTTTATACTGTTACACACAGTAACTCTATATCATATTTTACATAAAAAAATGTTTATATCGTTTCGATACATTTAATCTAGGCATTTAAAGTTTTTGCATTATTTTATTTTTTTTTCAAATACATATTCTATTTGTAGTTTTATTTTGTGACATTGCAGGTAATTTAACGTCCGTTAAGAAGATTCAACGGTGCAACTCCAATCTAACAAAAGTCGTTTTGCAAGAATTAAATCAGGTTTGAACTCCTTACTTTGTGGTTCAATAATTATTTAATTTAGAAATAAAGAGTGTTGTATTAAATCAAACAGACTGCTTAGTTTGCTCATTACAGGATTGTATGGTCCTATTTGAATTGTATTTATTAATTAGCTACACATTTTGCAGAAAAATTGTCGTTATTATAATGACCAGCACTGCGGCGTTGGATATCCTTGTTGGTTAACATTTGTAGTAAAGCTTTTGTTTATGATCATTAACTTCAATACTAACAAAGCTTTTATTTGAAATTCAATATGATATGTCCTACCTGCAAAGCTCATTTTTTGGGCAATTTAAACTTATGATAAAAATGAAATAAAACAGGCCGTTAAATGAAAGTGACGCAAATGGGCTTGGATTGTAACTTGCTCAATCAAACCGAGTCTGCAATATTTCCAATTTTGCTCTGTTGGGCTTTCTTTAGAGATTCTGTTTTTCACTATTTGAACTTTGCATGTAGTTTCACCTGTTTTGAAACTAAAGTTTCAATTATTCTTGTGTTTGAGATGAATTCCTATCTATACCTATATGAACATATACCGTTATTTGCATTTAGTTTTGTTCTTTTACACATTATTGTACAGAAATATGTTTTTTACATTGTGACTGTACAAGACTTAACTTTTTCACAATCTTTATGTCTCCTTTTTTCAGTTAATGGAGATTAAGCATCAGAATATATGTGCTTTTGTCGGCGCATGCGTAGAACCAAACCGCGCATTATTGATTTGGGAGTACTGCGCAAAGGGAAGTTTACAAGACGTCATCTGGAACCAGAACATCAAATTAGACCAAATGTTTATGTTTGCATTGAGTCATGATGTCTCTAAGGTTAGTTTTACAACAGTGACCATGAAACTGTAGGAAAGTCTGCAAACTAAAACCGTTATCAAATGATTTTGAATCCGTTTGCAGTTTCTACAATGTAACACATTGATAATTTAGCATTTTTATGTTGTTTTTTTTTTGTTTGTGCTGGTGGAAAAGGTCGCAGCCAATATTTAGATCAATATTTAGATTCCTTGAGCCAATTTCTTCAATTTGCAGCCAGGTCAGTCTGCAGTGCAATCAGTTCGGTGTCTCTATCTCAAAATGACCAAACTAGAACATGGTTTGGATTTCAGACTAACAACTGAACATGTAACAAAAAAACAAGCTAAGGTAAATGATAAAATGACACACACGATAACAAAATGTTGTATTTACAGGGCCTTGAGTACATCCACAAGGGTCAGATACATTTTCATGGCAATTTAAAGAGCATGAATTGTGTTGTTGATAGTAGATGGACTTGTAAACTAACAGATTACGGTGTACCGACGATAAGGGAGATGGGTAGAATAGCATCTCAACAAGCAAACGAAGATATTCATTATGAGAGTAAGGAATTTAGTTCAATTATTTTATTAGGGTATCATGAAAACATTTTTAGTATATTTTGTTAATGACAGGTAATGAAAAATACAGCGCCTTTCTTGTCGTGTAGCGCCGGTTATTTATTTTCATAAATTTCTTGTAAATGACACATATGGTGTTTATTCCGTTGACAAATAACTCATTTTAAGATCACAAAATAACATATCAGTAAGAGAAGACTATTAAGCATACTTGATTTATTTTGTCTGAAAATACTTTTGTTCAAAGCTAGTCATTTAAAATTTGCATATTAAGGGGCGTTATTCTATAAGGTAGAGAATATGAGACTTTACATGTGCTTCTATATACCTATACCTACATAACATACATTAACATAGTCATTGAACTCCTTTGAAATCTTATATAGGTATTAAATGTGCAAAGGTGAGATTTAGACAGTTTCTTTCAATCAGATATGTAGTGAAAGAGAACTAAATTCATTGTGTTTAACGTATTTGGTTATTGCATTGTAAAAAGAGTCAAAACAAAAACATCGAGCATTTTTCACAAGTGATAATCTTGATAATTTTTATTGATATAGAAATGTTGTGGATGGCGCCTGAATGTTTACGAGACGGGAAGGACAGACCCTATGATAAACAGAAAGCTGACATTTATGCCTTAGGAATCATTTTAAAGGAAATATTCACTCGTTCCTCCCCATACACGGAGTACCCATTTCTAGTTGCTCATGGTAAGTATTTTGACGTAATATCTTGAAATATATTAAAACAAAATATTGTGTTCCATTCGGCATTTACAATTATAACTTTTATTTTCGTTAAGAGTAATTAAATATGTCACAAGTTGCAACACAAATTATACGACATTAATCACCTTATCAAAATATTATGCTACCATATCTACATGATTAACGTACCAAAAGGAGAAACTTCCATCTGAGATGTGAAAATATTTCAAGTTAAGTTTTATTCTTGTGTAGTTGTTTTGTTTTCATTGGGTTTTTGTTGTGTTTTTTTTATTTATTTATTTATTTATATATTTATATATTTTTGTATGTATTTTTTTTGTTACAGTAACGTCGTGTTCCAATAGATAACTGATATGTGTAATCTGAAAGGCTTTCTTATGCGTTTGAGTATTAAATTATGAAGTACAATGTTGAATGAAAGTATAAAAGTTTGTAAAAGTATAGCTGATTTATTAATTTTGAAAATCAAATTTCAGAAATCATTGATAAAATAAAATGCCCGAATAAAGGGGAGAAAGTGTTTCGACCAATGTTGTCCCTGCAGTTACGTCAGCATTCAGAGTTGGCCACTCTTATAATGGACTGCTGGAGCGAGGACCCGTCCTCAAGACCCGCGGCAGCACGTGTTGGTAAACTTCTCAACAAAATTCATCCACAGTAAGTAGGGTTTTTCATTTCGATGCCATAAAATACGAGTTGTATACGGAAAAAAGTCTTCGAAGAATTGAATTCAAACATCTGTATTTTTTAACTTTAATTATTAAAATCGAAACATAATTGAATGGTGATATTCATTAAAAGTAATTCCAAATATAAAATGGCAGATATATCTGAAAAGGAGAGAAATAAACTTCGACTTTAATACATTGATCCGAGTTAAGTACTATGATATAAACTTGAAATGACGGATTTTATTTTACTATGTTTAAAAGTAATTAACGCGTGATTGATCTAGTCTATATATTGTACTGGAAAGGGTATCTCTATTTCCAATTTATAGTAAGAAGGAACATAAATTAAATGAGAGTTTCAACAGTTATACATGAAATGTATCATTTGTTATATTTAGGAACTTGTCTATGATAGACAACATGATTGTTATGTTAGAAAAGTATGCCAATCATCTTGAGGAACTTGTAGCTGAGAGAACAAGCGAGCTGGACGCAGAGAAAGCAAAAACAGAAAATCTTCTTTATAGAATGCTTCCACAGTACGTATAAGTACATCACATGTCATTTGATTCGATCACAAATTAAAAATATATGATTGAATGATTGAGTGCTTAAATGGCGTTCTATATCATTAACTTTTAGGTAAACAGACTTTTGTAAAGTTTGAACAGTACATAAATCAGTAGAGAATAAATTTATAGATGTAACATAATTTTAGATATAGCATTTTTTAACTGAATTTTTTTCATAAACAATAAGTCAGTTACAAAATCATTGTGTCTTTTCAGAACGGTTGCAGAGGAGCTAAAAATGGGCCGACCAATAAAAGCGGAACATTTTGATGATGTCTCATTATATTTCTCTGACATTGTCGGTTTCACTTCAATATGTGCCAGCAGTACGCCAATAGAAGTAGTCAATCTTTTGAATAGTTTATATACACTATTTGATGCCATAATAACACGATATGACGTTTACAAGGTGAGTACAATCAACGTCAAGGGTATTCGACTGGAAAACTTTATTATTTTTGAGTTTAAAATCTTTTACTCTAAGTGTAACAATCTCTCGGAATACTACTTTTGATTGGTCGTGAATTCAATATCGTGCTTTTATGCCAAAGTAGTTGGATTTAATAAAAATACTAAATCTGTGTTGCATGACTTGGAATTGTATGCAGTCCATAATATATAGTTTAACCTGCTCTGATTACCGTCTATTGTACTCTTTTTATACCTCTCATGTTCAGATTTGCGACAATATGGTAGAGATGTTAAAATATGTTTTAACTTGAATAATGTTAACCTTACATTCTTATGTTTTAAACACTTATTATTTTGGAAATTAAGGTGGAAACTATCGGTGATGCTTACATGATAGCGAGTGGATTACCAAAGAGGAATGGGAAGCGTCATATTAAGGAAATAGCCGACTGTGCTTTAGACATATTAGCCTCCGTATCTACATTCTGTATTCCTCACCAACCGGACAAGAAAGTCAAAATACGAATAGGTACTTTACATTGTCTTTTCGTTTGTTTTGTTTTGTCTATTCGCTTCTTACTGATATCACTTTGTAAACAAGTTAATGAAGATCATTTGCAAATGTGTATATAAATTCATCTAGAAACAAAACTTTAAAATATTTAACATATTTGATAACTAAAATACAATTCATTGTGTAGATAACGTTTGAAATTCACTTGCCGTGATTTGCTGTGTTTGTCAAATTTATGTTTTGTACTTCATCTTTGGAAATGATGTTTTGAAACGAAGAAAAATTCATAGTCCACTTACAAAACCGATGACATTCAGCAATCTTATAATGTATTGCCAACTCACATTAATTATATGTCGGAACGATTGTTTTGTCACTAAATGTAATTGTAATCAAAATCGTTATTTATATCAAATGTCATACAAAACTAATTTATAAACAATTTCATTTTAAACCCTATTATTATTTTCATCCAAGGTATACATACTGGTCCAGTTGTAGCCGGTGTTGTAGGGCTGGCAATGCCGAGGTATTGTTTATTTGGAGACACAGTCAACACCGCTTCAAGAATGGAATCTACCGGTCTTCGTAAGTTAATTGTGATTGCGTTATTAAATGTGTTCTATCTTTTGCTGAGAAAAAACACAAACAGCAGTACTTTTTTATAAGTAAAAACCAAAGTCAGTCAAATGACTTTAGATATTTGGATACCATGGATACTAATGAATATGATTTAAAATGTCGTTGTTTAACATTCTTACTCAAACAGTACGTATTTGTGACATATCATTTATCATTATTTATTCTTTGAATTTGTTCACTCATCATTTTTAAACGTTTTATTTGTGTTTTGTTTTCAGCTTTACGTATTCACTTGAGTTTAACATCAAGAAATGCATTGGTACAATACCCTGGCTACCATCTTGTTTGTAGAGGTGAAATTCCTGTTAAGGGGAAAGGAAACATGAGGACATATTTCTTGTGTGGAAAAGAAGGATTTAAAAAAGACCTTCCAAATTGCGATGAAAACGTAGAGAGTGGGCAAGGAGGAAATCGTGTATCTCTTACTTCATTGAACTCTATGGCATCACTTGTGTCATCGCCATCTACTTGTTATTCATTTGTATCATCAAACTGTGCACCAACACCAAAAACTTCACAAATATCAAACATTTCTAATATTTCACGAAGTGTCTCAATACACAATAGTTCAAATGATTCATTGGAAGAAAAGGATGAAACAATTGTGACAGAAAATTCTCAGGGAAGCGAAGTAGACGAAAAGTTTAAATTAAAAGAAACAGGTTTACTCGAAAGCACGTGTTTGTGACGCCAAGCTTATTGAGAATACAAAAAAAAGTTATCTGAAAAAGAGCAAAGGTCTGTAGTAAATGTTTTAAGGAATTATATGACACTAACACGGTTCCTTTTAATGTAATTAAGTATGAAAATACAGAAAGTGTATGGTATTGTACTCATTTTGTTAAAATGTGTAATTAACTGAAAGTGCTAAATTGACTGAGATGATGTGTTGGAGATGGTTTAGTTCTGCACTTCTTATGAAAATGCATGAAATAAGATTAAAATCAAGAAAGAAAATTTCAATGACCTTACATTTCATTTAATGTCTTCCATGCCGAAGAGAATATATATTTATAAGTGATAAACCGTTTAAATCGTAAAGAAAATATCTAAATTTTACTTGTGATAGCGTTTGAATTAGATATAAGTTGAAGTAATATCTCTAGCAAAAGATGTACATGTACATAATCAGCCTTTTAAAGTACAAAACAAAAATGACTTTTGCCTAATGACTCATAGTTACTTTTGTTTGTTTTCTTTTTCTCTTCATTTCAAATGTAAATGTAAGTTTTTTTTTAAATCGATAAATATAATATCATAATACAATCATTGTCTCAAACTTTATAATTGATGCTTTCACCTTTATTTTGCTTTTTATCAGATTGCGTTATACAAATAGCTATATGATGATTTTGTGTTTGGCCTGAATAAAAGAATTAACTGTACATCTGTATGAACAAGAAAAGATTTTCACTTTTCTAAAACCGAATATTAATATTCCTGTCTATTATTTGAAATTGTGATGTTTTCTTTTTTATTTAATTTTAATTAAAAGTGTTTGAAAGCACTTCAAATGCATTCAGTACTCTATTATTATCTAATACTTTTAAAAGAAATCCATGGTGAAAAATGTGAAGAAAAATGGAATATAAATACTGTTCAAAATGTATAGCTTTCATAACTGATTGATTAGTTGACATGTCGTGAATATATAGAGGATATTCAATTTTTTTCTATAAATACATGATTTATTTTCATTGAGTGGTATGAAAATAAATATTTCATGAGTGGCGGTAGCCACGAGTGAAATATGGTAATTTTTATGCCACAAGATGAAAATAAATTGTGTATTTATAGAAAAAACTTGAATTTTCTGTTTATTATATACATTTTTCTCCTTTTTGATATTAAAATTTGAAAGACTTTCCCTTAAATTTTGTGTACTGGCAGAATTTAAAAGATAGTAGTCCCGGGCAAGACACCAGTGAAAATACGGAAAATATGTTTCACTGTAGTGAAAAATAAATTTTTACAGTGAAAATACGGAAATGAAAATACGCATTTTATTTCATCAATATTTCATTTATAAGTATATAATAAATGTGTCTATTTTCTTTTATAAAACTCGTTTATTTAAAGAGTATGGATTTATTTTATCTCTCTTTCCGTTTTCTGTTTTGTAGAGTATAACAAAATGTATTCCTTCTTTTTTGGCGTCCTTGAAACCCAGTCTGGGCTAATTGTTTGTTGGTTAAATATGCATATCAAAATCCATGAACATTTCATCTAATTAGACAAATCACGGGGTATATGGAGATAAATTTTAAAAGTTTAGTACACGTATTAGTATGTGTCTTGTGAATTAAATGAATGTAACAAGCATGTTGTCAACGAAAAATGAAATGTTCTACTATTGTTTTAGGAATGAAATAATGTTTTCAAGGAAAAACGTGTTGGCCTTTGACACATTAGTTTGGTATCGTGTTTTCTGTTATAATTGAAAAACCATTAGAAAGTATTTCCATTGCTCTGATAATATTTGTCTTACTGAGAAGAAGCAATTAAATGATAATACAGCAATATGTTTTATCACATTTTATGGGTGGCAAATTACATTAATCAAAGTTGTTTTACCCTTTTCAGCAGATGCTCATGACTGTGTAGTGTATATTGTTTGATATTTCAATGCAATTTATATATTTTTTGTATTTGTTTTTGTTTGCAAATTACATATTATATCTACAAAAAAAATTCTTTGTTTATATTATGCGACAAAGTCTCAATTAGATTGAATATAAAGTCTTAATTATAATACAGTTCTCTAAAACATTAATTTATTATAAGCATCATCAATATTTACCATTTCATGATATTCTTCTTTTCTATCTAAAAGTTAAATGAAACTTATATCACATGTGTAAAAAAGATATATATTGAATTTCAGCCCGTCATATATCAATACTTCAAAAATAGTTATAAAAATACATGTATTTGTTGAGCCAAACGACACGTTTTTTTTAATATGTAATTATATTTTACAAAGCTACTAGATAATTTGTTAATGTCGACCATTTTTGTGTACTTTCAATTTAGTTCTGTTTTAAACACAGCTCTATAACAGATCAAATAAATCGTTTTTTGACGCAATAGTTTATGTTATATGTTACCTGTAAGACATGATTTATTATTAATATAACTTATGTACTTTTTCTTGTTAAGAGATACTTTTGTAACGTGGGGCTAGCAAAACTTTCTGAAACACATTCACATGTACTATGTTGATTGCAGCGTTTGTATCCCAATAAAAAAGAAGTTGAAATTAAAGAATACAGATTTTGATTCATTTTTGTACTTTTTGTTCATTAGTAAATTTCATCTGGTACCGGTAATTTTGTTCTTGATAATTTCCTTTTCATAAATTTCAGCTGTCATTTTTTATGACTTAATCTTTTTCAGGACAGATATTACGGACTTGGAAAATTTATTTCCAATTTAATCAATATGCTTTTGGAAAAAAAATCTTGACTATTTAAATGCTCTTGTTCTTTACTTTTATCAATCTAAAATTTAAAAGCCATTATGTTGTTTGTTAAGGCTTTGAACAAATAAAAGGGTTTATAGACCGAAAGAAATTACTTTGTCTTTAAAATTTAGTTACTTTCTTATCTAAAGTTGGTAGCTACTACACTTGTTATTATAAAGGCTTAGAAACACCAATATGACAGTATATCCCCTTGTTGTTAACAACAGTGAGTTAGAAGAAGGCGCAAACAATCACGGACACATAATGAGTTATGTAGACCTGAAAGATCTAACATAATTCCGGGGGGAAATGATGGCGTTTGAAGAGAATTGCCAGCAGAATTAACCTTTAGACAACAATTTTGATACATTGTCCGGTAATGACAACACCGAAGCAATATTATATAATGGCATAACTTAACTTTCTTGTAAAACTAAAGTTGAGAGGATCAGTGGATTGAATCAGTGGTCAAGTGGAAAAACAGCGCTCATATTAGCATTATCTTTTACAGAAAGAACCATTGAATTTTTTTAATGACACTTTCGCTGAAAGACCATGTAGTAATATTATTACTAATGTACTTTATAATTAAATTGTTGAAAGAAAAAATCAAATTTGAAAGTTGAAAACCGGAACCAGAACATGTGACGGGTCACTTAATGGCCTAGTTAATTATCTAAAAAAAGATCATAAGACCAGTTTATTTGACCTAAGTACGAAATATAACAAAGCAATGGCACTAGCCTGTTTTTGCGGATGACTTTCATGATAAAAAAAAAATATTTTATTGTAGAATGACCAAAACTATGACTCAAGAATCTGATAATAGACTTAGATATCCAAGAAGAGGTGTTTTGTTTCAAGAAGGATTCAAATTAAATCAAATAATCCTTATCAAGACGTAAAGAAGAATTATAAAGAAAACCCGACTGATCACAGAATTTTTTAAGATAAAATTGTACTGAGATCACATTTGTCCAAAGCCCAAAGTAGTAAATTTCATAATAAACAAAAAATCAGATAAGCAGGTGTTTTCTACTATAGTAATGAACCAGGCCACGATTCCCTTTTGCAAAATACCATCAAATTATTCCTAAAGTAAACGCTATAATCCACAAAATAGAAAATGGGCAACCACACAATCACAGTACAAAAATACCAACAGCAGTTACCACAACAGGAACAAGTTAAACTGTTGGAAGCTGACCTCCAGCATAAAAATAATACAAGTACATGTACTCATTCATTTTCAATAGAAACTACATTGTAAAATATATCATGCGAGATAGACATATCATTAATCTTCACTCAAGATTTTTTCATGCATGTTTCTCATTTTGACTATTAAAAATGTACTCTCTGAGATATTTTGAGTGGGATTAGCATGTTACAAGTAACAAAAAAAAAGATGGAAATATACAGAATTATTGCTTTGTGGCCCTGAAATAATTGATAAATAGGTTACCATTTGTCTATGAATTTTTAAAAGCAGAATATTAGGTTCGGATTTCATGAATATTTACAAGCTAACATTTAGCGGAGGTTTAATGCAATTGGCAGATAAATGAATGTTTAAAAACAACAGTTATCGTTAGTACACAAAATCCAAGCAACTGAAACCTATATCTTACCTCAAGCTCATGGACAAATTTATCCGCCTTTCAAAAACAGTCTACGGACAAATGTCCGCAATAACTTAGGGGGCGCAAATATCTGGGGGCATTTGTCTAGCGGTACGACAATTGTTGTTGTTATTTTTTGTCGAAAATTTATTAAAGGAATTCGTCGGTTTTTTGACATGTTATTTGGAACCACGTATGAACCTATGCGTATTTCCTTAACCCAAGTTACAGAAGTACAAAGAGTTCAACTTTTTCCTAAACATGTACAAACTGAACGTCGTTTATGGAATAAAATCAAACCTCCTAAAGGAAGGTTTGATTCAGCCTGTTTATGGGTAGTGGTGATAAATGCAAGCTCCCATTTAAACATGGCATGATGAAATTAAGAATTTATAATCATTCGCATATATATTCATACGGCGAATATTATATAGCTTTCAATATGAGTTCGTGAAAATCAACTAAAAGCAGAATTGTGCCTTCAGCGAGAAAACAATACAACATGGTATAGTTAGTTTAAGCAGGCAGATGGAATTTCAGGTTGATTTTACAATATAATTATTCAGGTAAGTCTAATCCTGTTTTCCAGGCATTTCATTGATTCAACAAATGCACAAGTTTTTTTGTTTGTTTTAATTTTCTTCTTTTTTAATGAATATTAATGGCGGTGAAGTGATCATTCACTTGTGGTTTGGTTTTGGATGTGGTAACTGCTAATAATAACTAAAACAAATAAAGAAAGAAAAACAATTCTTTTTTATCTTGAGAATGTAATTAAATGTTTTTTACGAAAAAGACTACTTTTGTAAATGCGTTAGTAAGCAGGCATGGAATTCTTCGAAGTGAAATATATGTAGCTTCTTCATCAGAAAATACAGTCGCCAATGTTTCTACTTTCTGACAATTTCTTGTTACTCCAGTTAACACTCACATCATTTTGTATACATACTAATGACTACTTTCCAAATCTTAATCAACGCATTCTTTGTTTGTAAATAAAAATGTATGATACCAAATCACGTGAATGAAAACAAATAATGTTTTAAATGATAACATGACTTTTGGTGTACAATAACATATAGTCATAGTGTAACCTTGCGGTCCGCTTGTCTTCTAATTGATGATGTGACATGTAAAAACCATCTTCGTTAAATTACAACTCGTCATTTTCATTGGTTATTACGTTGTACGTCACAACAAAGCTGTATTAAAACAAAAGTACACACATTAAACAAATATGGCCGTCCAATTTCTGCTAAAATTACCACATATAACATAGACGCCATATTATGTGAACATAGAGCCAAATACACATATTCTAGGTAATGAAAAGCTTAAGAGATCGGATTTATAATCAAGTAGACTATTATGTGATCGAATGAAGTGAAAATCAAAAGGAAAAGTTTTAAATAAAAAAATACAAACTCGTATGTATTATGAAATGTGTGTGATTGTGTCAAATTAAAGCGATTCAATGTTTAATTTAGTTTCGTGATATCATGATTTTACATAGATAATGAAGATTTCATACTTGTTTGAAGTATATATTTTATACGTATGTACTAAAAGGATCGATTCTGTTGAACCCAACGCCATTGTTACTGTAATTGAGCAGCCGACACCAGTGCAGCAGACGAAAAGTCAAGGCTGCAGACGAAATGAGAAACACCCGGATGACAAAGAGTTCCGTATAGCTTGGCTCGCCCCAGCAAAAGAATTCTATAACTTAAGTGCTGCAACAAGTACCGGGGCCGTAAAACTCGCCTTAGTTAATATTGTTCAAAATGATATTCTGAAAGGATATACAGTTAAGTATGTGCATTTATCTTGTTTTAACATTTGGTCAATGTATACACCACTTTGTATGATAAGAATTGACACGTTAAAGACCCTTTCTTTCTAGACGACTATTCTATTCTACCATCTGTTCATACAATGACAGTTAATCGATTTTAAATACCCCTAACATCAATTTTTGCAATATTTAATTTGAATGCAATGAAAATTAAAGAAGTACATTGTACAAGTGTATAGAGTAATATTTTAGGTTCGATTCTACCTAAATTCTAGGTTTGTACATGCGAAGCTGATACATGTAAACAGTTTCTGTACATTGCACCATAACATCATACTACGTATAAATGGTCTGGTTCGCGAAAATAGCATGAAAATTTTTTTTCTCTTTTCTTTTTTAAGAAAAAGAAACCGTGTTCTATAATTTTTAATAAAAGATTTCGAGCATGTTCCACGATTTTGATCTGAAAAGGTAGCGTTGAATGTGAAAAAAATGTCATAAAAGTCGTTTATTGTACACAAAGTGGTTTTTTTTTCCAATTATTAAAATACGAAATCCGAACCATAAATCTTGTTTTATTGTCTCATTTTCTGTCAAGTTTACCTATAAATCAACTTTAAAATTACAGAACATTTGTTTATATTTAAGTATCAATATACACAGGTAAAAATGCACCACAGACTGCAAACCTTCAATATACCGTTAAATACAACATGTATTTCTTGCGCAGATATCATTCATTACACTATAAAGTATACAAAGCTAATACAAACATTGCTTTGAAAATATGCTTAAGCCATATTATAAAATGACATCTAGACGACATGACATGTAAATTGATTATTCGGTAATATTTTTATAAATAATGCTTTTTGGAACTTACGAAATTGATAAAACTTAATTTGAGCAACATATTAATGATATGATGGTCACTGCCTACGGGTCATTTCGTTTTGGGTTCTTCATTGTTAAAAATTCACTTAATAAACACTAACATATACAAAGGGAGAAAAAACATCATGAATAAAAATAAATGGCAAACTATTCTCCCCCTAACCAGTTCATCACCCTGACGATTCACCCATAAACTGTTTCTTCCCCTTACAGTTCTAATAATCAGCTATCCTTCCAAAAAGATTTTTATCATCTATTTATTTTTATCTTTTTTATAAAGGTATTTTATTGTTGTTGTTGTGTTTTATTTCAACATGATAAGAAGTATTGGCAGTGAAGGCAACTTTTTCCCCATAGATTTACTACATTTACAAGTTGTACATAGATGCATGAACCAAGAATCTTTTAAGAATTTATGTACATTCATGTAGAATCTAATTAAGACTGTTCAAAGTGTAAATATTGCAGAATATATGATCATAAATTTATCATATGCAAATCACATGAAAGTTCACATATATTTAACATATGAAAACTTATTCATATGAAAAACATGTGATAATCATGAGTTTTACATTATGTTTGTTGACACATGTTTTTCATATGGTCACGTTTAACATATGTTATTTTAGATATGAAAAACATATGTTCTGAAACACATATCTTTTATATATGGAAAACATATAGTGTACCAAACATACAACAAACATGTGGTGCATTTTACCTGTGTAAACAATAAAAAGGGCATTGTTGAACAGCACAAAATGTGACATACCTTTCCAAAGTCTTCATTAATCTTTCCACGAGGAACTGTAATAAGAATTAAGTTCAATTTTTACATCGCAAAATCTGTTTCCAACCTGATCTTATTTGCTTTCTGGAGGGATGTTCTGCCGACCTTTGTTTTTGAAAATAAGGCATTTTAGACTGCTTTCCTAATATGTACCATGCACAAGACATTGTGGCCACTTAAGTCCAGTTTCTTTAAAATTTAGTGGAAGTAACCAACACAGGCTGTCAATCAATGTAAATCAATAAAAATCGTACAATAATTATCAAATTTTGACCTGGTTTCTTTTCATCCGTTACCATTTTATTGGCGAGAAATAATTGTCACAAGAAGATCGTGATAGCCTGGTGGTGTAGAGGCAATAACGGTAAAACATTTCGTAGACGAAAAGATAAACAGGTATCAGTGGAGCTTACACAGATCTGACGGCGTAGCTTTTTTGACTTTGTTTTTGACTTATTATTACCTTTAACTAAATGACAATTATTTCAGCTTACCATAAATGAATCGTAGAAAAAAGTAACAAAGGGATAAATGTATTCTATTTAAAAATGGTCTATAAGTGATAAGTCGTGAAATTTTAAATATATGAAAAATTGAAAAACAGAATCCCTAAAGGAACCAAACACAGCAAAATTAAAAACGTTGCAGGCTCGATTTGATTGAGCCTGTTCATGGACGTTACTGGAAAGTGCAAGTTACCGTCCACGCCCTCTAGCACCGGCTTAAACAGGATGCAATATTTAAACACGAAAATGGTTAAATTAAGTTTGAAATTGTGATGGGAACTATCAATATGAGATAAGAGGTTGACTTGTCCTAAATTAATTTATTTTATTATAGAGAGAGAGTGAGAGATGTAATATATGTTAAGTTTTGTTTTGTTTGCATATGACTGCCTTCCTCAGAAATGACTTTACTTGTAGCCTATCTATATAACTATCAAGTTAAATGCATACACAAACACATCCTGAACGCGCATAAACACGACAGAATATCCATCAAATGCATGATACAAAAAAACTGCTATATGATATTGCAAATAATGACTTTTTATAATGATATGACAAAACGCCCAGTAAATTGTAAATTACCATTAAAAATAGATTTAAATTCCGGTCACAATGCATCAACATGGGTAAAAACACTTCGTCTGTAAAGAGACAGACTACATCAAGCATTATGATCATACCTGCCATGTTGTTGTCGCCTAGATGTCATTTTATGATATGGCTAAAACATATTTTCAAAGCAGCGTTTGTATTAGTTTTGAGTACTTTATATTGTCAAGTACTTTCAAAACGAATGATATCTGCGCCCGAAATATATGTGGTATTAAACGGTATATTGAAGGTTTGCAGTCCGCAGTAAGAAAGAATAACACATAAATTTAGGTTTGTTAACACAAACCTGACAATTAGACAAAGGTGCATTGACCAGAGAGCTTCAAACTTTAACGGTATAGCACCTTGATTTTTATTTTAGGGTTTTTTAGGCACATTTTTTCTTTAAACCAAATGGTCATTTTTACATGTAATAAGTAGACATTAAAAAAACAACATCCACTTAGAAACTTCAACTTCGCTTGTAGGTACACCTTGATTTTGGTCCGAAAGGTCAATTAAATTGATTCAAATAAAAACCATTTCATTGCTAAATTTAGTTTGCCTCAGTAGACTAATTACTTCTATTTACTAAACGTCTAAGAGGCGAAATCTTGAACCGGATTCTGATAAAAACTTATTTATCAATCATTTTATATTAATATCAATCACATAAACAGAGCCTTCTACATCTTGATTCAATTTATCTTTTTCGTGTTTAAAAAATCATTAATTTGGAAATTTGTTCTATGTTAGGCTTTTTAACATGCATTCTGAACTTAAATGCTTGTTTATTTAAAATATGTCAGATACATACCAAAGCAAACCAGATTAAACCGGTATTTTGTAGTTGACAACTCGGCCTGTAATGTATTTTGATTGAGTTGCTTTGATCTTTAAGACAACACGTTACACGTCCATATGAATGTACAAGGCGGCGTACATCTGTCATTTGAGCAAGAGAAGGTGTATAGCTGTTTCATGACCATTTAATTCTTCTTATTATTATGCTACAACAAATAAATTGCGACACTTTTTCATGTTATAAATATTCATGATTATATATTCATGTCATTTCTGAAACCCGACTAAATATGTTTGGACTATTATATCAAGTTACACCCTAATAAATATTTGAAACATTGAGGATCCGTTCGTATGAAATAAGAGATTAGCAAAAATGTAGAAAGGGACAACTCTGTGACAATAGTTCGTCATTGATTCCTGTAATATAACAGTATTTAGTATTGAATACCGTTATACTCGGTGCTATGGGCTTGAGAGATGCGGTATTTTTTACCTATCATTAACACACCAAATAAAAAAAGATTTTATTTCTTCTTTAATGTTTTGTTTGTTTGTGTTTGTGTTTTTGTTTTCTTTCTTTTTAAGTAATAATCTCCCGGATCTAGTATATGACTTTTGGACAGAAATGTAAATGAGTTAATTATGATTCGTTGCAAATATAGGTTTATTTATTTCTCGTATTTACAGTTGCAAGCCTCTAGGGGTAATATCATGCATTAAATCACACACTTTTTCTTGCATGTAAATGAAATAACTGATAGAACAACGTCTCCGCTTTTCGCTTGAAAAAATTGCAAGAATACGGTTTCTTAGAATAACCACAAGGTAATATTTCTTAACCTTTACTCTTTCCATCACTCTTAAGCTTCTTACAGCAACAAAACAAACAAAATAAACTGAGGTTTTGATAAAAACAAGTGCACGAGTTGATATTAAAGGCTCATTATGCCTCAGAAAATGAAAAAAATGTTTCATTCTTTAGAAAGTAAAAGTATGAAAGTTATAATGTTTAAATAGTCGTTTCAGAGTATGTTAGATGCCTTTCGTCTGAAAAAGAAAGTAGCACTGAATTTGAAATAATTTGTCATTAAAGTAGCGAAATGTAAACGATGTAGTATGTTGACTTCCATACATAGTACTTAACCCTATAACTGCTCTTATTGCCAAAAGGCAAGAGAAGCAAAAGGTCGTTCAGATTATTGGCCAATCAATAGCTTTTTGGGAACAATAACATAAGACCAAAAATAAAAATATTTTTGAAAATACAAATAAAAGTATTTGTGGGGCACAATGGACCTTAAAGCTCCTTATAGAGAAAGTTTTTTCATTTATTTGTTTTGATTTTACTTAGGAAACCGTGCAGTTCCGATATCCAGACTGCAATTTAATGTACAATGTATATCATTCACTATGATTCCTTAGT